GTTAAATGTAAAGCAAAGAAACTGAAAATGTATGATGAAGAAAAAGGAAATATAGCTAAATTTATTTTATATCAAGACCATCTATTTATATATGGTCTGAGGCTCTTCTCATTTGTTCAGTCACTCTCATGGCATGGGCTAGTATCAGAGGTGGTATTCAGCAGGTTCTAACCAGTTCTGGAGAATCGGTAGCAGAAATGTTGAGTAGTTTGGAGAACGGGCAACTACCACCTCCGATTGGAGATTTTACAGTTTCCTTCCCCTGCCACGCCCACCAAGCCACGCCCACAGAACCGGTAGTTAAAAAATATTATTGAGACATTTGTTGAGTGTTGTACATTATGATTCTTGATTCTTAACGAAGGTATCTTTTCTTTTATGTACACTGAGAGTATTTACACCAAGACAAATTCCTTGTGTGTCCAATCACACTTGGCCAATAAAGAATTCTATAAAAGAAGTTTGTCCCATTATACAATCTTCCTTGCCTCAGTTGTTAAGTGAATCATTGCAGTTGATAAGTTAGTAACCCAGTTGTTAAGTGAAACTGGCTTCCCCATGATCTTTGCTTGTCAGGAGGTCGCAAAAGGAGATGGCCAACCCCGGGACACTGCAATTGCCATAAATATGAACCAGTTGCCAAGCAGCTAAATTTTGATCACATGATCATAGGGATGCTGCAAAGGTCACTTTTTTCACATGATAACTTTGAAGGGTCACTAAATGAACTTTTGTAAGTCAAGCACTACCTCTAGTTATTTATTGAGGAAAATGAACCAAAGTTAAATATTTATGTATGGTGAAAGTGTGTGAATCTTGGGGATTTTCAGATTATTAAAAGGAGAAATTAGAGTCAGGTCAAGGAGGAATCTACTACTCTCCAGAAATAATATTGCTGGCCATCTAAAGCATATGTGTCCAACCTTTTGGCTTGCCTGGGCCACACTGAGTGATGAAGAGTTGTCTTGGGCTGCATGTAAAATATGTAATAATGTGTATAAATCATATGTTAAAAGTTTATAATCTTGTGGGGTCACATTACTAGCTGTCCAGGTCTGTATGAAACTCATTGGCCACGGGTTGGATGTGTCTGGACTAGCCTACAGTTTGCAGAAGATCATGTGGATAAGTCAAAAGGTTATTGGAAGAATGGTCTGTGGATGGATGAGACGAAATTGAAGTTTTTGGTTTGAATAAAAAGCATGAAGTCTATTGAAAGACAAACACTGAATTCCCTTGTGAAAACCTTATTCCATCTGTGTAACACGTTGATGGCAGTGTCACGATTTGAGCTTGCTTTAATGCTTTTACCAGGATAGCTTGCCATCATTGTTCAAACCAAAAATTCTAAAATCGCCATTCATGGAACTATGAATTCTGTCTGTGAACTGAAGCTAAAGAGAAAGGAGACGTGCAGCAAGACAACGAAGAATAGTTAAATTAGAGAAAGTTAATGTTTTGGAATGGCCAAGTCAAACTTCCGAACTTCATCCAATAGAAATGTTCTGAAAAAACCTGAAGTGGGCAGCTCATGCAAGTCCATAACCAGGGGTGGAATGCTACCAGTTCTGCCTGGTTCTGTAAAACCAGTAGCTCTGAAGAGCAGCAGACACCGAACCGGTTCTGTTTGGTCCACCTGTCCGCCTGGGCTCTTACCTGCAAAATGTAGTCACCAAACCGGTAGAAACACCTGTTGAATCCCACCCTGCCCATAACATCCCTGGGTTAAAGCTGTTCTATAAGAAGGAATGGACTCAAGATTCCTCCAAGGCGATGTGCAGGGCTGATCATTATTGGAAATGTTTAGTTGCAAGTTATTGTTGGCCAGAGGGTAGGAGTGGGGTACAACCAATTATTGAAAGCAAAGGTTCACATACTTTTGCCATAGAGGTTTATAGTTTGGGATCATTTACTTCAATAAATAAATGAATAAGGACTATTTTCATTCCTTTATTTACTTGGTTCTTACCTGTGTGAAGAACAGATAACAAACCAGACCTTATTCATGCAGAAATATTGAAAATTCAAAAGGATTCACAAACTTAAAACACCATGGTATTAAAAGGAATCTATTGAGAAAAGGGAAACAGGAAAAATGAGGGGAAACAATATTCACAGGCTCAAAATTTCAAATTTTGTTAGTCCCTGCAAAGCAATATACAGATTTAGGGTCTTTTTGTTAAAAAGAGGTCCTCTTGACAATCTGCCCAGATGTGAAAAGCAGGCATCTTGCTCTTGCTCTTTTGCTTTCTGAGAACAGACTTTGATTTTTTTTGGAATACAGAGATAAAGATGAGAAATTTCTGGTAACCCTTTTGAGATTTCAGCACATGCTTAAAATTTATTGCAGATAGAATGATTGGAAAAAGTCTGGGCCACCTCTGGAATAAGGATAGATAACTCCTTCCTTCCAAGCCAGAATCAATCCTTCCTTCCTTCCTTCCTTCCTTCCTTCCTTCCTTCCTTTCTTCCTTCTTTCCTTCCTTTTCCTTTCCTTTCCTTTCCTTTCCCTTCCCTTTCCTTCCTCCCTTCCTTCCTTCGTTCCTTCTTTCCTTCCTTTCCTTTCCCTTTCCTTCCTCCCTTCCTTCCTTCTTTCCTCCCTTTCCTCCCTTCTTTCCTTTCCTTTTCTTTCCTTCCCTTTCCCTTTCCCTCCCTCCCTCCCTCCCTCCTTCCTTCCTTCTCCTCTCTCTAGCCACAATTTCACAGAATGAAAGGGATAACTCATAACTGAAAACCAGCCGTATGTCTAGTTAAGAAAAATCCTACATTTCTAATGCCCTGGGTCTAATCAGCAATTCATAAACTTTGTAATGATTAAACATCTGTTCTTAAAAACCCTTGGAATGATAAAAGCTCAGTCTAGTTTATTGCCAGCTGTGATATTGAATAAATAAGATTACATGGGAGAGGCTGGGGAGGGGGGTGGAATTCCATCCATTCAGGCCATTCAGCATTGGGCGAATTTATCAGATGCTTTGGGGGCATCTGTTTGTGGGGGATTGTCACAGAACCAAAACTTTCAGGGTAGGCAGGAATGGCCAATCAGGTCAAGATTAAAAAATAACAGTAGTTGTACAGTACCTTGTTAGTGAACTCTCTTGTGTACCATTTCAAGGGGATTTTTTAGGGTGTGTGTGTGTGTGTTTATCTCTACTTGTGGAAGTTGGGGATGGGTGAGACTCTGCCATTCTTTCAGTTTTATAAGATTTTGTCCAGAAAATTAAAAAGTATGTTCCCTAAGTTAACTACTGGACTTTTTCTCAGCCTACATTTCTGAATCAATGTCCATTTATGACTCCAGGTCTTCTATACAACTGTCCTTTCCCCCCCACAATGAGTTGTTAAGCACTTTATTTACAAATAGTAAACTAAGACATTTGTAGAAGTTTTGGAATCACCTTTTCTAAGCTGCATTTAAATAAATTGGTACTTTGGGGGTAAGACAATTCAAGTAGGGCTAACAGCATTCTCTTCGCTTAACTTTGCTGGGACAGTAAGATTGATTGGTTTAAAATGTACAAACAAAAGGCATTTCATCAACAGGATATCAGTTCATTCACCTTCCCTTGCTATTACATCATGCAGCAAAAAATGTATTAGTTTGTCCCCTACAAATATTTACTTTTACCAACATTCTAGAAAAGAAGTTGCACCCACAACCATTTTATTTTTAAAATATTAAATTAAAAATGAGATGGATCCTTATGAAACCTTTAATCCTTATTAAAATGGTACCAGTTTGTCAGTGTTTCTTCTCTCTTTGACAAATATTGTGTCAACTGATATATGTACAATATTTGCTTATGATGGCTTCTGGTTTAGTTTTTAATTTAATATTTTGGGGAATGGGCAAAAGTACTTGAAAGTAAAATGTTGCCTGCTTATCTTTTGCCCCAGTAATTTCTATAGAAATAAAAATCATTTGTCAAATATTTTTTTAAAAACGTTGTTCCTTGTCATCAATTGATAAGTTGGGCAGTAGCTGGCTCCTTACATTTGGATTTTGCCCTTCAATTAAAAGAAAGAAATATGGCTATATTAGTATGTGTTTAGCTTAGGACAAGGGTGTCAAACTCGATCCGTCACATGACAGATCACATTTTTTGCTTTGCGGAGCCGATGGGCATGGCGTGTGTTGTGGAGCGGCGGAATAACCTGAGGCAAACATGGAGCGAACTTCAGCTTTTTATTGTAGCAATAAAGGGTTGCCGCGGCTGCTGCGCTAACAAGGTAGCCAGATGGCAGACAACAGCTGATGCCGTTTGACAGCTCCCTTTTATAGCCGGCTGTCAAATGGCATCAGCCAATAGGAACGGTCCGTGTTCCCACTGGCAACACGGACCTGAGTGAAGACTTCAGCTCAGTCTTTTCCGAACGCTACAGCGTGCATGTGATGCATCTGGCCCACGGGCCAATTTGACACCCCTGGGAAGTCTGTAAATCCATCCAGTATAGTTGTAAACCATAATTTCTCTCTTCAGATGGGTTTACACACTATAGAAAGCCAAAACACAAACCACTTTATGATTAGCATTCAAATATTTGTATGCAGGAGTTGAGTCATAGATCAACTATATAGTTAATTCAACAAACCTCAAATGACTGAATTTACCCAACACAATAAGCCAAAAGGAGTCAAACCACACGATGGTTAATATGCTGCACAAATATATCCAGTAAGTAAGTGGACAGTGGCAGATCTGCTTCTGGTTCTTTCTTTGGCTTTTCCATTTTTTTAAAATTCATGAAAAAAGAAAAGATAAATATGTCACTTTTAAAATAACATTTTAAAATAGTATTCACTATTTTAATGAAAAGAAACGAACCACTGAGTAGGTCTTTTTTATCCCAGTTATGTTGCTTCTCTGAAATTTATTTATTTTAGATGCACAAGATGGAAAAACGGCTGAGAACTTTCTAAGCAAAAGAAGGTGAAGGATATGGAAGTTGAAGTTCAGTGAATATATTCTAATGACAGGGGCCTTTTCTTCTCTTAAAAGGTGAACTTTGCATCTTGGAACTGCCCTCAGCTTTGCCTGCCCAGGAGAAAGTTGTTTCTAGCATCAAGTTAAATATTGTAAGTGATAGTGTTGCTAATGTGAAATCTGTGCCATTATTTATCTCCCCCGCTTTATATGCGGGGCTGTCCCTAAAGACATTCAGAACCTGCAACTTCTCTAAAACTTGGCATCTACATGAGTGTTCAAGCTTAGTTTCAATGACTTCCTCTGGCTTTCAGGTTGTAAAAAGTAATGTGATTATATGCAATTATTTGTGTGTGTGTGTGTGTGTGTTTTAGTTCTGATGTTTGCATAATAACCTTCCATCAAAGAGTTCATGTTTTCATTTTTCGTTTTATTGTTCCAACAACTCTGGCAAGTTAGAATGAGAGATCTCGATGGAACTTAAGACACTCAGTGAATTTTGTACCTGAGCAGGTTGTAGTGCAGTAGGGTTTCCAAAGAGCAGGAATTTTTAAAAATCAAATGTACTTTGTTTAAAAAAGTTAATATATTCGATTGAAATTGAGAAGGTATTGATATAAGTTTTGGTCAATTTAAAACTGCAGCTTTGAATTGGATACTTGAATTTTCCTTTTGCTTAATGGATTAGCACAGGGGAGGGCAATTAATTTTCCCAGGAGGCCACATGAGAAATTGGGGACGGTTGTGGAAGGTGGCTGCCCCACACTGCCACTGCCCCCATTGCTGCTATGGGCTGGACGAGGAGAAGGCCAGATATGGCCCACAGGCTGTAAAATGCCCAGATCTGGGTTAGTCTCTGAGTGGACTGTATAATTAGATTGTGATAGGGCTGAAGGCTGATACTAATCACACAATTATTGCAAAACAAAAATCTGTAGATAACATATGAAGTCAGTAAATCAAGATGTCAGTAAATAATCAAAACTGATGTCAAAGAAATGAGGTAATAATTATCAATTTTATTTCCATTGGTCATAGTCACAGAATTGACCCCACTCTGTAAAAAGCGTCCACGAAAGAGATCTAAAACAAGATGGATTGATGAAATCAGCAAGTTATTGTGGGCCTAACTGGCAAAAGAAAAGTATAAGTTGGAAACATGCAGAAGGGGCCTTCACCCTGCAGTAGATAGATAATGGCTAGACTGATGATAAGGATGATTTCCATTGGTATATATTTTAGATGTAATGATGGTGAATTTAGGAACGATGGCAAATATCAATTGTCATGGACATTTTTCTTCATTGTACAAAGTCCTTGCTTTGCTTGCCAACTAATTCCAAAAACTAAAAATGACAGTTTAGGGAATATTAATAATTCAGCAAAATATACCACATCAGCATTTATGCTGCCTTTGCCTCTCCATTTTGGGTACACACAGGGTTTTAGCTCTACTTAGTGGAAATCTTACAACAATCAGATTTAATCTAGAGAAACCATTATATAGAATACCAACATTCATGTTCTACTACATCTGTCTGAAAAGTCTACCTCAATCTGTTTCTCGTTAATTGTGGCTGCTTGTAGGTGAACTACTGAACTTTACAACCTGTGTTCTATTTTTAAGATTAAAAAAAAATAGTATTTGCAGTTGCAGCAGTATCAATCTTTAGTTGCAGTATGAGTCCCATCTAGTGGTTAAACTATCTTTTTTAATTTCCCTGCCCAGAATTTAGTTCCCTCAAGCCATTGGTGGAAACAAGGTAATCTTAAGCTCAAAATTTCATGGTGCCTTTGCTGCTATTTCTAAACGGGCCTCTGTTCCAATAATGTTGCAGAAGACACATTGGAGGAGGGTAGAAAGGTGAGGGAAGGAGGAGCTGGGGAGTGGGCGTAAGACAGTGGAGAACGAGGATAAGATTGAATGCTATGAGATTGCCATTACTTGGGGGGGGGATGTGTGTGTATGTAGGTATGTAAAGCTAGGAGAAGAACGCATTACAGCTTGTTTCAAGGGGTGATGAAAATAGGTGGTTTCGAAGAATAGGGGACCCTATTCTTGGGGACCCTAGAGGAGAAAATTCTGTGATGTATTCTAACATCTTTGTGAATCTTATACGTGCTTGTGAAGTGCATGTGGGGCATAGCTATTGAATATATGAAGCATGATCCATGTGCCTGCAAGATGAGTTCATTTATATCCTGCTCTATTTCAGGGGTACATTTGAAAACATTGTAACAGGGATCCCTCCCTATAACCAGTTTGAGTGGCTGTGTTTTCTGTGAACAAAACCTGCTTATTCAAACACTGTTAGAGAGAAATAATGATTCTCCGCAGCTCCTCTTTTTCCTTACAAAATGTCTCCTGTACATTGGGGAGTGGGGAGAGGAAGGAAACCTTGTAGAGTACCATGTGAGTCTAAATGAAAAGCAAAATTGTGTCGGTTCAGCTTCTGTGTTACTCTAGACAGTAATGGGTGGGTGTGTTGGCATGAATATTAAATAGCAAGTAGGAAAGTAAAGCAACACTCTTTCATTGGTCTGCTTGTGCCTGTTGTGTTCAGACACAGGCTGTGCACGAAAGAGCATGGGCGTCCTCTGGTGGCCTTCAGAAGGCCACACAAAAACTCCACGGTGGGAAAAGTAATGAAAATGTGAAGCTAGCAGCTCTCATCATATCTAACACACAAGGGAAACAGCAATTTGGAAAAACTAGCCAGCTTAAAGATTAAAGAACTACCTGTCGATTGAAGCTTTAATACTAGACAATTTTGATGCTCTTTGAAAAGAATCACATGATCCATATACGGCAGATCAGTGAAATAAACCATAGAACACTGCAGTTACATGAAACTGAAAATGTTTTATCAAGCATATGCTAGGATTAATCCTTAATTTGAGAGAGCAGTCAAGACCTATAATAAAAGTGCTTAAATTACTTTTATGCAGAAAGGTATTGCTGTGTTCTTCAGGTCATTGGGGAAGAGATTAATGGTCAATGCCTGGAATGCACTACCTGACTGTTGTTACATCCTCTAACCCCTCACTCCTTTAACCTTAAACTATCCACTATTGACCTCACCCCATTCCTAAGAGGTCTGTAAGGGGTGTGCATAAGTGCACAATTGTGCCTACCATCCCTGTCCATTTCTTCGTACCTATTTCCTGTATTCTTACTCATGTTTATACTTATACCTATTATCTTGTAAGCAATTGACAAATCAAATCAAATAATTTTTAAAAAAATAGATACGTTGGGATCCTATGTGATTCAAAAGGGGACAGTAAGACACTATGTGTATGTACCATACCACAGAGAGAGACACTAGGAAACTTGCAGCAGCATCACACTGACAGAAATGAAAGTCCTACTTTCCACAATACACTAAGACAGGATTTAGTGAATAAACTACAATTAGATGGGTTTACGTAACATACTAAACCAAAAACTACAGCATCTTGTTATGGATTTGGGCAATATATGATCACCACTCAAGATGACCTGGGGTGTCCAAAATAACCTACATTCAATCTTAAAGGTAAAGTAATTCAGGTGGTGTTGTAACGCATCATAATTGGTCAAAAATCACTCCCATGTAATAAAGAAGGGGAGGCAGAAGCTGTTATCAACAAACCCATATATTTGCAAAAAAGAAGATACCATGTTTCTCATATAATAAGGCCGGGTCTTTTTTTTTTTTTTTTTTGAGCCCCCCCCCAAAACAGCTAGGCCGTCTTTTCGGGGGTGACTTAATTCCCCCCACTTGCATCTTCGGGCAGGCGGGCGGCAACGGCTTGGAGGTTGACCTCGGCGTTGGTGGGGCACTTTGTATCGGGGTCAACGCAGGCAGCACCATATCCGGGTGTGCAACCACAGTACTTCCTAATGGCAAGCCCATCCGCCATTCCCCCCCCTCGCCATTTCGCATGTTTTAATATAGGCCTTAATTTGGGGGGAGGAGCTTAATTTCATTTCATGCCTATAAAACATGCTGGGACTTCCTATTGGGGGAGGCCGTATTGTTGGAGAAACAGGGTAGTAATTGGTTTTTTTACTGAGAAATTTAACACCTCCAATTTGAATTTTAGTTTAAGAAAAAATATGCTAATTATTAAATATTTCTTGGGCAATTTATTTGGGAAAGGAAATGTTATTTTCTCCTCCATGCTGCATCGAGAGCCCAGGATGGGTTGACTCCTTCCTATGATGTCATAGCTGAGTCTGTACTAAGATATAAAAGCCAGCCCCCGGGAGAGACCCCAGCTTTTGACTCCGCTCCTTTCAGTCAGTAGCTGTGTCTCTGAAAGCATTCTGTTAGATAGCAATCACAGCGATCTTCAGTACTTTTTTCTTCTCTTCAAGCAGCTCCCAGGGATCTGGGCAGCTGCTCTTCCAGAGAGCAGGGCTCTCTCTCTCCTGCAAGTTGGGAGCAGCTTTACAGAGCTCTGTGCAGGCAAGCTGGGCAGCGTCTGCAGACCTCCCCCACGCCTGCAGTTTAGAGGGATCGTAAACATGATCGGCAAACTGAAAAGAGCTCAAGCCAGCTGATCATGTAGCTGGTTGCTATGTTTTTCCCTTGCTGACTTCGCTTGGGGCTCTGTATAGCCTAAGGAGCGGTTCTTCAATCTTGGAGCCTGTTTTCCTGTAGTCAACCCATCCTGGGCTCTCTTGAAGCATAGATAGAAAGGGCTTTCACGGTAACTTCTACCAACGCCCATTCCTTTCCAAAATGTTATTTTATGGGGAAAATGTTCAGAGGTAATTAAATCTTCATGGCAGTCATTTTCCCAAGGTAAGATTTTTCTTCTCCTCTGTAAGAATGTTCTTATGCCTGGTTTTACTTTGAATCAGTTATTTAATGTTTACACCAGACCAGAACATTTCATCATTGCAGTTAGAAACTTGTTTCCCAATTTTTATCCAGGAAATCAAAACTAATGTTTGAAGACTTAATTTCAAAAACAATTGTTTATAAATATGTTTCCAAAAAAAATATAGCACTACATCTGTGTGTTTTGAGTTGTATTTTGTACATGTAAGCAGGGCAGTAAGACTTAAAACAGGTTTTACTTTTAGAAAAGCCAGGCTAGATAAGTTGATATGAACAGGAATTATACACTTTTTATCATTCTTTCTCTCTAGTATATTCCAAAATATTTATAGTGCCCATCAACCATAGCTAAACATGATGGGATCTATAGTCTAATACAGAATTCCCCAACCTTTCTGGCTTTGCAGTCTGGTAGCGGTAAGAGAGGATGGTTCTGTGTGAGCAAGCATGCATGCGCACATAGCTCCATTTGCATGAGCAAACGTTGCTCATGCAAATGAAACACGCGATTGCGCCTGCCCGCTTTTTGTGCAAGTAGGGATGCGTGCGCATCTGCTCACCCATTTCTGTGGCCCGGTCCAAAATGGCTTCAAGGCCTGGCTGTGGTCTAATATATACGTCTGGAGCCTTCAGTCAAAGAAGGTTATTCTTAAGATATGTAGAAGATGCTTGAGGATTTTAATCAATCAGCAAACCCTGTTAGAGGATACACTCTTGAATATACGTAGTGCTAAAAGAATAGTAAATAATTCAATAGCAATACTTCCCATTTTCTAAAAAAAGAACCATAGTTTTCTTAGGGACAGCATATGGGATTAGCTGAATTGGTAATGAATGCTAAGAGAAATTCATTGTATTTTAAATACATGCAGTTTCTTGGGGAATGCATAAAGACCAAAAGGCCTTGATTCTACCTTAAACTATGTAAGTAGTCCTCACTTAATAATGAAATTGGGACCAGAATTTCTGTCGCTAAGCAATGCAGTTATAAAGAACGTTGTCTTGTGTCTACATCACTGACCAACAGAAATTCCAGCACTTCTGCTAGCTGTCATTAAGAGAATCACTGGATTGATAAACAAGGTGTCGCATGGTCATCAGTTGAGACCTCCTGTCAACGTCCTTGTTCATCTTGCTTGTAGGAAACTAGCAAAGAAGCAGGTAGATGATGATTGCACAACTGTGGAACACTGCAATGTTGCGATGGCAAGTCATGTGCTGAGTATCTGGAGCGCAATCAAGCGACTATGGAGATGGTGACATAAAGATTACTTGTACCATTTGTTCAGTGCCATCATTCAATAGCAATATTTCCCATTTTCTTAAGTCTTGCTTAACAAGTAGTTGTTAAGCAAGGCCTATCTGTATCTGTAGGGGGGAGAGAGGAAGTTTTGTCTCTTAAAAACAGACTCATTTTCTTACCAACATTTCAGGTAAGAAACAGCTGCATGGACATGTCTAGTGATTGAATAGGCTTATAAATGAGAAGTGATGGAGTCTCCACTGAAAAGGAATTTGTAACAGGCCCCAAATTTAGTTTTGTGAGACAAAACCAGCTGGCGGAAGATGAAGATACCTTTTCTACACAGCGCTTCTCAAGGCAGGTGATGTAGGCAGAAAGTAATAGGAGATCTGGCTATTGACTTGGCCAACAAGAAGAACAATGCAGAGCAGAAAAAGTTAAAGGTGACAGTTGTATGTTGCAGGGAATACTACCAAACAGAACCTTTGCTGCTGCTTCTAAGAACCGAAAAGAACAAAATAATAGCTAGCAGAGTCTAGAAGAAATAACTCAAGAAAGGAGGTAGGCAATGGCAATTGTGTTTGCCTTTTAAAAACCTAGGTTTTAGATCAAGCTACTGATGCATTTTTTCCCCTGTACTTTCCAACATATTCTGCATTTATTCCCACGTGAACACAAAGCAATGACAGCGAAGCACAAGAAACTTCCCTCTGGAGTCATCTACAATATCCAAAACTCAGATCCTCATGTTTGTTCAAGGATTTTCTCCCTGTGATTTTTCAAAGGGATGTGGGGAGATCTAAACTAGTCAGCTTCTGCATCAGGCATGTTAGCAAAAATAGTTTAATCAAAGTAAAAGTGTAACTAAGCCTAAAGAGACAAATCTTGCTGAGCAAAAGACAGTGTAACTTTCTCAAAGGCAAAAGCAAATCCATCTTTGTGACATTTTTGAAGTTCAGAATGTCTAAGGCGTACTTGGATAAAGATTTGTCCTTTTATCCAAAGAGCTTAAATGGAAGAAAAAGGCATATGAATTGACAGCTTATTCAGCAAGGAATTTGGAAGAAGAGTTCCTCAGGGACATATGGTGGGATTGGTGCGTTTTAATCTTTTATAAATAAATCATAAACAATGAGCTTGACCAGTTTTCAGAAACTACTTACAATGGTAGAAACCAAAAATGACTGAAGGGCTCTACAAGACACTATTTAAACTAGGGAATGGTGCATGCAGTTCTACGGAAATGTCAAGTGATGCACATTGGGAATCCATCCATCTTCCATTCTTCCTATATATCCATGAAGTTATACATATATTTCATTTATGAAGTCATATACATATGCACCCAGGACTGCATTTGTAGTGGTTAGAATGCTCCCTTTTGATGTGAGAAACAAGAGTTCAAATCCTACTAGCACCTACCTTACCAATAGAGGTCCTTGGGCTTCATCTGCCTACTTCAAACATAAGTGACATGAACTAGGAAAGTCACGCTGGCTCAGATGTGACCCGAAAAAACAAGATCTGCATCAGAAGTTGGGGAACCAGAATAGTCTGACAAGTGGGGAGCTGGAACAAACCATACATGAACAAGAAAATCTGGAATTGATAAAATACTATTACAGCAGTAGACCTAATGAGAGGAGATACATGAAACATCTGAGGCAACTATGGATGAACAGAAGAGAAACAGCCAGTTTATCAATGCTTCAGTTTGAGATACAACCACCACACATTATATCCCAGACTTGAAGACCTGGAAGAATAAGTAGATGTGTAACCAACACTTGAACCTGGAATGTAACTGCTACCCTTCCATTGCAGAGCACTGCAGCTGATAATAGGCAAACTAGCCCTAGTCATTTGAGAGGTTACGGGGCTCAGTGGAGATGTGCCATGCTAGAAGATGCCACTAGAGTCCACGCAGCAATAACAATAGAATTTAGCCTTAAAAACTGCTTTACAGCCTAAATGGTTTACAGAATCAGTATATTGCCCCCATTCTCATTTTACTGACCTCAGAAGGATGAAGGCTGAGTCAACCTTGAGCTGCTGGCAGAATTAGCTTGCACTATTGCATTCTAGCCAAGCCACCACGGCTCTATCTCTAACAATCACTACTACCACCATAATGCAAATCAATGTATATACTATAGCTGTTGTGAACCTGGAAATGCTTGGCTTCATAATCATGAAAAACAGCAATACATACCCCATCCCCAGAAAATGAAGTTAGTGGCTAAGATCAAGACAATTCTGGCAGGTTAGTCAGCTGGTGAAATTACTAAAAAATAAATAAAAGGGACTGCTCAATAAAGGGTCACAACATACGGCTAAGAGAAGCAGAGGCAAGAAGATAAACATCCTGTCCTGCAAAGAACCAACCAAGATGTACCCCCCAACTGCAGTGCAATAATAGTAACAGCACAGCCACCAACAGCAGAAACTGAATAGGACTGGAAGAACATATGGGAGAAAGAGAACAACACAAGGAAAATGGCTGCAGGATGTTGGTCACATTTGAAAGTGAATATAATACAGCTGGAGAAGTATAGAAGACAGCAACCAGAATAATGTATCTTTAATGTTCTACTTAAATAAAGAACTATTGTTTTGTAAATTACAATGATTCCAACTGGGAATCAAGTATATGATTGTTCTGTGAGTGAGATGGGTAATCTCCTGATTTGCTAAAGTCTGATTTGATGGCGGCTTCAGAAATATGTCTTGTAAAAAATAAGGTTACTGTTTTTTAAAAAAACACAGTAGACTTGGAGGTGCAGAATGACTACAACTGTCCAAGTGCTCTAATTTACATTACACTTAAATAAATTTGCATAATAAATGTCTCAGTCCTTATCCCCCAGTCTTGTATCCTTGTTTGAACAATGACTGACAAAACAAGATTCTTCGTTTATCAATTTTATTGGAAACAAAACTGTTGTTAACAAAGAAAAGTTTACCAATGTAGCTTAAATGAGCAACACAAAGACCGCCAAAGCTGCAGAAAGCATGGGATACAGGGGAGATTTATATACTATAGCACATTGGTACATTTAAACATTTTTAAGGTTGCTTACAAATATTTCAAATGGATTCCCTCATTTTAACTACATGGAAGCCAGATAATTTAGTTGATCTCAAAGCTAAGGATTAGCAAAGTACTAGCTATTAATAAAAGCTAAATCATGTTTTGTAGAACTAAGAAAAATGCCATTTCACAATTTAGCATTCATAAAATCACAAATACATTAAGCTTTTACTTACCTTGACAACTGAATATTATCCTCCATTATATTTGACAATTTACTGCTTCCAATACTTCATGTACCTCTAACAATTACTCTTTTGTACTGGAAGCCATATAGAAAGAACAATACTCTTGTATGCTATTAAAATAAAAACTTGGAGCTTCAGTAAGAGGAGCATGTCTTTAAATTTTAAGGGCATCCTCTACAAAATGACAGCGTTCTCATAAATGGATGAAATATTTTACTGAACTGCTGTATTGAAGATTCCTTTCTACTTGGAATATTATGAAAAATTCATTACCAGTCCAGAGCAAACTCAAAGTGGAAACACGCTTCTCAACCAAGAACTAACTTAAACTAGCATTCCAAAAAGTATCACAACTTAACCTGGTAACATTAAACATTTCTGAGATTTGCTATTTTGATATATAAATATTAGTGTAGTATAAGCAACTAATCATTCAAGATCAACATACTTTTCTGTGCACTATTAAACAGAGCTGCTATGTCCACCTTCAAATTTCACATTAGTAGTTAACTTGGTGGTTTATTGGTTGCTAAGTACAAAACAATCAATGTACAAAGCACAAAGGATTCCGAAAAGCAACACCAAAGTCTAGGTCTTAAATTCATTGAATATACCAATGAGGAAAACACTCCCAATGTGTCCTACTTTATTCAGCAAGGCCTCAACACAGTGCATAGTACAATTTGAGTAATTATAATTTGCCAATTTATTGTTTTTTGTTTTTTTTTACTGTTTACAATTTACCTACCTACGTACTCTTCAGATGCCTGTGCTCATTTGAGAGCACCCCCACCCACAACTTATTTAAGCTTGTAGAAAATGTGATTTGGAAATTAAACATTTATACATTTCTCAAAATATCTTTTTTAAGTACAGCTTTCAGCAGAACTTGACCTTGAGCGAGACCTCTTCTTTGGTGGTGGAGATGGAGTGGAATTCTGCGTGCCAGAGTGGTTTTTTTCAGAGCTTTTCCTTTCAGGTGTACGGCTTCGAGAGCCCCTTTTTTCTGGGGTGCGGCTTTTAGAACGAGACTTGCTGGTTGACTTAGAGGATCTTGCAGATCTGGACTTGCTGCGAGACCTTGAATAACTTCGAGAACGAGACCGGCTCCTAATAAATATTCAGCCATTAGTTTTCATTGTGTGTGACATTCTATAATTGGTCTTTGTGTTCACCAAATATGTTTGCGTGCAATTTCGCTTATCAAAGAATTTAAATCATATAGAAGTCTGAAGATCTTAGTCTTTAAAGGACTTTCTTTATAGTTTATTTCTTTCTAGTAATGCATTTACCGATAATCATGAAAAATGCAAGTTTCTCTCTTGATTTCTCTTTCAACTTCACTGGACTTACTGCTTCTTGAAGCACCAGGAATATGCTCCTCGGCTTATAGCCAATTTTTCTTCCCTAGTTTATTTCCAAGAATTACACATTTAAATTTAAATTTCAGCAAAGCACACAATACACGCACCAGTATTTAAAAAGAATTTTGAAATGCTTTGTTCTGCAACTTTAGCAGAATTCAGTAAATCCATCCATTTATCCGTTAACAGTAATTCCTCTGTCCTATCTAGTAATTCCATACACAACTCCAACCTAGTAAAAAAAACAAGTAGAAACTTCACATTTCAAAAGGGAAAGAAAGAAAGGTTTTCCTTCCCTGAAACCTGGGCATAGTGTGTTTATTTAAAATGGGCAACCAATACAAATCTCTTAATTTACTCTGGGTGGCTCACAGAGGATTGGAGAAGCAGCAAATTAGTTGCTTTCGTTTGTATTTTATGGATTATTCTCTTTCCTAAGTTTTTGAACAATACATTAACTGTTTATGTCTCATATCATTCTCTCTTGTAGATTTTGCCATACTTGCTTTGGCCAACAATGTACAAATGATGCTGCCTGAACTGTGAAATGGAGCCTCTAGAGGATTTGTGCAAAATAATACCAAATGAAAAATGACAGAAAAATTATGCTTTGGTAGAAAAATTTGGGGATACAATAAAACTGCTTCTGCAACATTCCTTGAATTATCATATAAATATTCCAAATTATTTTATTGCCATTCGTATTGTGTTTTTATCTAAAAAGATACCTGCGCCTTTTGCGATCTTCAATTAGTTTAATTCTACGTCCATTCAACTCACTGCCATCCAATTTATCCATTGCACTCTTCATATCACTGGATGATGCAAACTCTACCACACTGTTGATTCATTAGCAAAATTACAATAAAAATTATTAGTGGTGATAAAAGTATATTACATTTCTTCTTTCACAGAATTATAAAGACATTACTTGTCATCTTAGTTTCTCCCAACTCCAATACCTGAGCCTAAAATTTTACAATTTCAGAACATAACAGATGTGAAATATTTTTTCTGTATGTTCTTTAGAACTTCTCCATGGAAAATTTTCTGTTTTTAGCAAATGATTGTGTAGGAAACAATTTTTAAACAAGATATTAAAAGGAGTTGTTTCTCTCAGTGGTTTTCTACTGATTCTACATATAATAAAAACAGTTAACAGATTTTTGGGTTTTCTCATTAGTAACATTCAGAAAAAATCCATGATCCCAATACGTAGGATGCAGATCTGATCAGAATAAGTCTGTGCTGATTCTGGAATCTAATTTTAATAGTATTTTCAGTTATATTCTGGAACAAAGTTGTCTGTTAAGCAGTATGGTGGAAGGTCTGGTGTTTAAAGCCCTCCCAGCCTCAGTTGATGCAAAATGTCAACTTACCCTTCATTTGGATTGTTTCTGTGAGCATCCACAAAAGTAACTTCCCCAGCTTTCCTCATGAAGTCTTTCAAATCCTGCAGTAAGAGTTGAGGGTGCAGATTAGGAAATGAGCATTAAGACTCAAGATGCATTGTTAAACAGGACTTCATAGTTAACAAACTATAGCCAAATGTCATATGCTATAACTATGAGAAAAATTAAACTAATTTGTACAATTAAGACATACCTTCTATAATGCCTAAAGTATTATAACATGTATTTTAACTATGAATATATGCATGGTGTTATTAAATGCAAGCATTTGATTGCCTGAAATCTCAGTTCATTTGTATATTCAAAGTTTGCCTAGAAACATTCTATGTCCCAATCTATAAAAATTAAACGCAAATGTCTTTATTAAGTTAATGCTAAGATTCTGTCACAACCTGTCAAAAGACAGCATTAAATTTTTATGGCTTTTGTCAGTCCGTGCCACAACCTTAGTGTTATTTTAACAGAGACTTGCATTTAATGTAATTGAGACTTCGTTTATTTTGCAATGCTATGTAACTAAGTGTTAAAGACGTTTTTTAAAAAGTCGTTTATGCATTATTTCTTAACTTTTACAAAATGTCCCAATAATAGCTGACATTTTATAGCCAGAGGCTACTTACCATAACATACCACAAGTGTTCAGATGATATAAGCAGGTACCCTTAAGCAAAGAGTCGCTTGTCCAATAATTGCCTAGCAGTTCAAGAGGAACTCCCTTACATGGGAGGGGCAGAGGAATGGAGCATAGCAATGTGCTTCAGGGGAAGGTACCAAAGACCCTGAAAGCATTGGAAAGTCTCCGGAAGTGGCTCTAGAACCTGAGGTTGACCTGTGCTAGCCAATCGAGCTGTGAGCCAACCAGGGTCTACATCGCCATGATAGCTGTGTCATGGGTACCAAAGGGAAAACTCAGAACAGGCCAAGCCCTAGAAATTCAGCCACTAGGAACCCCAACCTCTTGGGTTCTTTCTCCTCCACACAAGAGAAACGAGGGCTAACCCAAAGCAAGGCTGTTAAAAGAGGTTCAAAATGAACTTGGTTAGAGTATATTTGTGAAAAAAATATACAAACAAAAAACCTAAAGTTGAACTAGATTATAGGATACCTCAAGTTATATATAGTGTTTAATAAAGTTCTGCTCAAATTTTACAAACTAGCATGTGAATCTAACAGTTCAAACATCTGAGCCTTCATCCTAATGCAAAACAAACTTGAAGAACAGACATTCTTTCAAAGCAGGATTCAATTATAGTATACTGAATACTCCAGTCAAAATTCTCCATAATAGTGAGTTTTTTAACAATAGAACTTTGAAATCAAGATAGGAGTAATTAATATACACTTGAACGAATCCTCTCAATATAAAGATTATAACATATAATGCAGTATGATGGCAACAGTAATTCAAATGATTTCATCATAGTAAAAGGTGTATTTAAACAACCCTTGCATAATTTTTAATTCATTAATTATGAAATAATTTATCTATAAATCTGATTATCGTATTTCAAATTTGATTACCTGGTGTGAAATTTAATTAAGCTGAACGTTAGCTCTATATATTTCAATGTCACAAGACATTCAATTATTTTTCTTCAGAAATTAGAAGGAAAATTGAAATAACTATATTAACACTTTTATTTAAAAAGTACTTTTTCTCATCCTAGATAGGTGGAAAACTTTTAGTGGGGGAGAAATAAGTTGTATTAGTGGGAAACTAATACCTTTAAACATGTCTTAAAATTCTAACTTAAAAGTTATCTTTTAAAAGCTAGCTAAAGATATTTTACTGAATTTGTGAACTTAAGTAAAGCCTTGCCTAAGGCATGATTGCTGACTTCTGTTAGCCAGGGTCAAGTCCTGGCTTTATGTCCTTTGCTAGTCACATCAAGTAAACACAATTAAGTACCCCTCCCATTCAAACAGGAGGGAAAGTGATTTCAAAGGACTATGAAACTTAATTTGTGTTAAGAATTACCCCAGGATTTTCCTCTTCCAATTATAATTCCTAAGATCTTACAAAGTGTATCTTTTGACAATCTCATACTATATTCCATTATGTTTTAATTACCCTAGGAAAATAGCAAAAATAGGTGGTTGCTATTCAGTCTCTCCTGTTTCAAAGGAAATTAAGCCAGGCAAACAAGCTAATTAAGAAATGGGGATGGATGCATTATAATATATTTTCTTTCTGCCAATAGCAAGCAGACACTAACATTTATCAGGTTAAAACATCTACTTTCTTTCAAGCACAGTATGAACTCAAAGACTAACTGATGTCTAGTAAATAATATCTGCAATAACTTAGTGTTTCTTATACAATTGATAATCTTATCTAAATCAAAACTTTTAATACCTTCCTTCAAAACAATTAGCTGCTTGCATCATGGAAGCAAAATAGATTTGAACAGAAAATCACTTTATAGTTTAAAAGCAATGAACTTTTAAAAAGTTGTTTACAAAGAAGAACCACACGGATCCCATCTATAATTTGTTGTAAGGCGTGGATCACTCACAAATGGGGAGGATGGCATTCACTTAACCTGACAAAGTGATTGTTGTGGTTTTTCCATGCATTTCAGCAGAAGTATAGTGCTTGATGTTGCCCAGTGAAAACTGTCACATTAACTGCTTCATACAATTTCTCTCTCCACAGGTAACCAAGAACAATTAGGATTTTTAAAGATACAAATACTAGTTCATAATAAATAAATACACACATACAAACGTGTCTGTGTGTGTGTACACAAAGTCCCAGAGAATCATACTAGATGTGACTGAACACAACTGCCAGAATATGGTTGTTAGTCATAAATAATCAAGTGGCTTTGCCCAAGGTTTATTTCTCTTATGTTTTCCTGCTTTTGCTATAAAATACAGAAAGGCATTTAAAAACCATCATGCCAGCAATAGCAAACAAAACATGCATACATTTCAGAAAATGAATTGTGAAACAATTTTTTTCTGGCTAAAATGTCAAAAAGACAACATGCTAAGTAGTAAAGGTAAAATTTCCCCTGTCCAGTCATGTCTCTAGGGGGTGATGCTCAGCCCTGTTTTTTAGCTGAGGGGGCCTGCATTATTCAAAGGCATTTCTGGTCATGTCGCCAGCATGACTATACACTGAGGCAATGGAACACTATTACCTTCTCACCAAAGTGATACCTAGTTATCTTCTTGAATTTGCATGGTTTCAAATTGCAAGGTGGGCAGGAGCTGGGTAGGAACAGGAGCTCACCCCATTATGCAGTACTTGAACTACCAATCTTCTGGTCAACAAGCCCCCTATGGTAAGTAGTATCAACAGGCAACTGAATCTGGTACTTGACAGGTGACTAAACAGGAGGAACGAAGAGGCTTTCTTCAGGATTAAAATAATAGAAGGACACCTCTTGTAGTTAAATATTACAAGTCACAGAATGCTGAATCTCAGATGCTGTGATAACAAATTAAGGGCTATTAACTTCATTCCTTATTTAAATACTAGAATGGATGCATACTGGAAATCAAATGCTGGGCTAAGTAGGTGTGATTAATAGCATTCTTCTATTTTAAAATATTGCCCCTGGAAACCTTATCCTTTCCACTTGGGTTTTTATAAAAGCAACATTACATACTTAAATCTCTAAGCCTTCAGAGATTTTATTTCTTCTGCATCAGGTCTGTTAACCTGTGAATCATTTTTGCAGGAGTTGCAGATTATGTGCTTGCCATAACACTCACAAAAGATACAAGACAGCTTTTTTCAAACTACTCACTTTTCCCTGAATTTTAAGAAGATTTTATATTGCTGTATGTAATCGCTATAAGTTTCATATTCATGTCATAAGATTGCATACCTGGAAGATCAGAGATGCACCAATTAAACAAAATGTTTTTAATTTTGGACAGTGGGCTCCACAAAATAATCAAAGTTCCTGGTTTCTCCCAGGTGAATTTCTCATATTAGAGCAAGTGTAGCATGTTATGCTATTCAATCAAGACATCTGTTCTCCAAATGCTATGACCTATCTCTATGTTGACCTAAAATTATTGTGCAATATATTAAACTGCTAAAATCAATCTCTTGACAGCTCTCCAGTTCATACTTGTGCAATTATAATAAATCTTGATGTAACATCTTGGTTTAGAAGACTTCAGATGAATCAGAGAAACTTTGTTGATGTTATATGCTACATGCACAAAATATGTATATGTATTAAATCCCATCTGCTACTATATATGTGTGTGTGTGTGTGTGTGTGTGTGTGTATAAATAATGCCAATGGATTTAATAATTTTTTATTTTAATAGATAACTCCTTTTCCCCATTAGTCTGTTAAACTAAGGGTTTAGTTTACTTCCTTTTATTTGTTTTCCTTCCTTGAGATAGTGGAAAACCCTATTTAAAGAACAGATATTGAAATTTATAGAGTGAAAAATGTTTCAAGGCAGATTTTTTATTGTAAACCACCGAGAGGTGGCAGTGAGACTGGCAATGTAGAAATTTGATTGCTGTCTCTTTCAATCATTTTTGTACACTTATACAAAAAGGACATAAAAATGAAGTTCAATAACAATGACGGCCATATAATGACATGTGAAAAATGTATTAGCATTGTATTAGTTTATGTATAATATAGTTCTTCATACAGGCTAGAATTATAGAAATGTTGGATAAATTCTAAACAAAATTGGTTAAAAGAGCTGTAGTGGTTAGAATGCAGTATTGCAGGCTAATTCTGCTCACAGCCAGGAGTTTAATCCCTACTGGCTCAAGGTTGACTTAGTCTTCCATCCTTCCTGAGGAAAATGAGGACTCAGATTGTTGGGGACAATAATGTTGACTCTAAACTGCTTAGAGGGAGCTGTAAAGCACTATGAAGCAATATATAGGTCTAAGCGCTATTGCTATTAAAATACAGATTTACAATTTACTGAGTTGTTACTTCTGCTCTATTAACATCTATTCTTTCAATCTAGCATAATACAGTGCTTTTTTTAAAAAAATCTGGAAATGTATACTTTTTAATACATTGACAACAGAATTTATGCTGTAAGAAGCACATAAAAAATAGTACGTAGGGAAGAATGGCTTAGTAACCTGAATGCTATTTTTTAAAAAACTTAATGGGAGAATGAAATGTAACATATAATTGTTTCCAAACTTGTTGAGAGGGGTATACAGTTTGCTAAAAAAAAAAAAAAGTTTTAAGGAATTCGAAACAGTTGCTAAAGGCCAAAACAATCCCATTAGTAATATACCAATTCAAGGACACCTCAGAGAAAAACAAACTTGTGGTCTAAACTTTCACTCCCAAATGAATATCCAAAAACAACCCCAAACAGTTTATTTCACTGACAATACTTATGCCCAAATACATGCACAAATTGGATATTTAAAATCATGTTAGCTACTCACTGTAAGCCACAAGTCCCTTTCAGAATACAGATAACATAATGCACGAAACATCCTGCATTAGAACATAACACAATACTTTTAAACAGGTGAATAATTCTGTTCATTCTATTGAAGCCAGATATAAAATTGGAAGCAACTTGCAGTTTTATCTCTCTCAATGAGACCAGTCTTTTATTTTTTCATTATACTGGATGTTTAAACATTGAGAGCTTTTTATTCTGACAATCTTATTAGGTGAAGATTTCATTTGTCTAAGAAACACTAATCAGCAGTTTTAAAAATATATGCACTGTTTGCTTGTTGGTAATGCAAATGAAAGAACTTTAAGCCTCTTACTTTAAAAAAAGGGGCTAATGCTTTATGTTACCTCTTTTAGGAAACCAAAACCTATCCTTTTAAAAAAAACATTGTTATTTAAAGTAAATGCCAACTCACCTGCCAGCTGACCCGTGAAGATAGATTCTCAACTATAAGTCTGTGTTCAGTACGAAGAGGTGGACCATACTGACTACAAATGGAAAACATTTCCTGTTACTCTTTTAACTAAATTTCCAGCAGAAAATTTAAACACTTTCTACTTTTGTCAGATTTTTTCTCTTCAAAAAATTTCTAAAATGGCTACTCTGTATTTAAATAATAAGAACAGAATTGTTACTAGTTTACATTATGAAAACAAGCAGAACGACTTATGACTACCAATCTCCCAATTATGTGATTGCATTTTGGATAATTGGCAACTGGCTCGCATTTACGACTTGTTGCAGTGTCCTACGGTCACATGACTGTGATTAGCAAGATGTTTTTGCTGGTTTCCAACCCCCCCCAAAAAGCATATTCAAAAAACTTGATATACTTATTGATCACAAGGTTTACTTACAACCACCTGATTAAATTTGCAATCATTACAACTGTCATAAAATCAAGTCTGGTCACATGGTGCCTCAACTTAGGACTGCAAGAATTTGCAACCAAAATTTTGGGCTCCATTGCAATCATAAGTCAAGGACTACCTGTACAACATTTAAGTATAGGTAGTCCTCGAGTTACAACCCAAATTTTATGTTGCTAAGTGAAACATTTGTTAAGTGAGTCTGCCCCATTTCACTTTTCTTGCCACAGTTAAGTGAATCATTGCATTTGTTAATAGCAATAGCACTTACACTTATATACCACTTCACAGTGCTTTACAGCCCTCTCTAAGTGGTTTTACAGAGTCAGCATATTGCCCCCAACAATCTGGGTCCTCATTTTACCCACCCCGGAAGAATGGAAGGCTGAGTCAACCTTGAGCCTGGTAAGATTCAAACTGCCAAATTGCAAGTAGCCGGCAGTAGCAGAACTAGCCTGCACTCTAACCACTGCACCACCATGGTTCATGTAACATGGTTGTTAAATGAATCTGGCTTCCCCATTGACTTTGCTTGTCAGAAGTTTACAAAAGCTGATCACATGATCCCAGGACACTGCAACCATCATAAGTATAAACCACTTGCCATGCATCTGAGTTTTGATCATGTGACCATGGGGATGCTGCAAAAATAAGTGTGAAAAACTGTTATGTTAATTTTTTCAATGCTGTTGTAACTTTGAATGGTCACTAAATTAACTGTTGTAAGTCGAGGACTACCTATACTGAAAGCTTTCATATTGAAAGATATCACCTAATACAACAATTTCCAAGGAACTATATCTTTTGCACAAATAATGAATACATATAAATAAATCAGCCCCGAGAGGATAAAGTTGTGGGTTATATGTGCTTTTCAATAAGCTGCAGTAAGCTCAGGAACTACTGAGTCCATTGACATTACAACAGCTCTGCTACTACAAGAGCTGGCTTGTTGCCATCAACCCCCAAGGTGTTATAAAAGAAGTGTATGAATAATTGAAGCCTCCACATTTGTTTATTCAGTCTTATCTTAAAAGTGATCGCTTTGTCATATCAAAACAAATGCAACAATCAACATTTTTGGGAGAATTAAAGAGGCAATTTAGTTGCACACAATTTAATTTGCATACCTCTAAATGCCCCCTTTTTCAGAATATCCAGATCTTCAGAGCATTTAAACAGAAGTTTCAGAATCCCCCAACTGGCAGGCTGAGGCATTGGAAATAGTAGTCTCTTCTTGTCTGGCACTATCTGTCATGAACGTTACTACCATGCCAGATACCCATGAAAATCAGTCACATATCCTACTTTAAAAGTTCATTTTTAGCCTGGACCTTGGATCATTCCTACTGCAGCAATAGCACTGCATTAAAAAAAAGAGAAGCTGAACAGGACATTTCAATATGCAAAAGTACAAATTCTCAATGTTTTGTACTTGTGGTTGGCAAGACATTTGCCTCAGAATGTAATGCAAAAATACAAATGTTATATGACTTAGAATAACTTTATTGTCACTTTGAATGTACACTACTAGGCATACATTAAAATAAAATTTCATTATATTTTATATAACCATCAATGCAAGGGTCTGAATATGTACTAGCTACTTCCAGTAATAGTTTATACCAGAGAATCTGAGAAATGTGAGTTATTTTTTAAAGATACTATCAATACTATAATTCTTCAATAGATCCTATATGTTTCAAAAGAAGCATTACTTAAGATCTCAAATTTCAGTTTGCGATAGTCCTAGGATACTTTTACAGCTATATTTTTCAAACATAGTCCAGCTGCCCTGCAACTTAAAATTATAGACAACCCAGGGCACAATACAGCTTACAATAGCCGTTCTATTCAATGATGCTCATACAAGAACAAGTTTTACAGATTGAAATTTAAACTTTATGAAATCCAAATTATAAAACTCTCCTTTCGAGACTGAATAGAAGCTGAGAATAATTTGTAGAAACAATTATGTGCAATCTGTAAATACTTCAGACAGTTACAAGCAGTAGCAGTAACCTCTCTTTTCAGTGTTGAAATTATTTGAAACTAGCATCTTCAACCAATAAAGTGCATATACCAAAAATTGTTTGCAATTACATTAGCATGGAGTTACAAAAATAAAAAGATGATTTTACTGCCTTACTGGAGAAGTATCTTAAAATGTATCTAGAAGTATCAACTATATTACAATCCTGAATCTAAGGACTGAGATATTTTAAAACCACGTGTAACAGTAAACGAAATTTCCTTCTTACCTAGATCCACCCGCATAAGACTGGTAATAATTGAACCGTTGTGGGTATCTGCCCCTACCCCCTCTTCGGGCTCTGGCATGTTCAATTGTAACCCTATTAAAAATAAATAAGTTTAGTATTTCAGTCTTTTTCTAGTGGAAATGAATACATTAAACAGCCAAATATGATGGTGATAATTTTGAACAAACTTAAGAACAAAAGCAAATTCTTGTTAACTCAGATCATTACAATCAATAAAATCTCTCACTGCCTAAATTAAGGTCTTCAGACATTTATAACTGAAAAGTAAAAAGATATGTAAGATGACTAAACAATGTACAGTCATTTCTACAGCATTTATTTAGTTGGGAATTGGCCAAGAAATTAGTTGAAAAGCCAATTTCCTAAATAGCATATTACTCCCCAACTTTTCCATCAAGGTGTACACAGAAGACTTTGTGGGGCGGTGGGAGATTCTCTACTGTCTATAAGAGAATAAAGATGATCCAGTAGGGAGGCATTTCTGATGTTTCTTAATTTACCAAACTTCTGCACAAGTGAATCCCATTTGTGTTTAAGAACTTCTAGGGGATACCTCTAAGACCTGAAGTTGTCTGTATCAGAGAAGTCATACATCTCTGATATAAACCAATATTGCTTTGGGCTGCTTCAGAAAACTGAATATTTATTAATTTTACAAATTAATAAATACAAATATACTATGTTACAATACACTATGTGTTTGTCTCAAATATAATCTGAAATCTTGCCTATGACACTTTATTCATTCTCTTTCATTAATCTTCTGATTTAAGACTTTGTGTTTCAAAATTACTTCAGATTGCTTTTACCCATTCAAAAAGTTTTTAAAAATATCTTTTGATTCTCAATTATTATTCCATAATTTCTGTGTAAATTTAATTGGTCCTGGTAAACATACTGCCTGACTGTTCATTTGGGATTTTTTCCATATTAATTGGCATATATGGTGTTGTCCCTTTTTATTCAATTCTCTCAATAACTCCACAAAGTACATTAGAATGAAACAAAATTTTAAGTCAGACTTGCAATTGTACTGTCATATGACTTGAGATTAAAGAGTACCTTTCATTACACAGCTCTTTGCCATTCAATTCATAAACTGCATCATCTGCATCTCTGTGATCCTCAAATTCCTAGGAAAGCAAAAAAATGAAACAAGTAAAATATTTTTGCTATTAAAAATTCTAGTAGCTATTGCTCTGGTTATTATTAGAGCTGTAATTTAAAATTGCCTAACTCTGATTTTAATTCCTGGGATAATTTTTATCCATTGCATTGTATCAGGTGGAGAATTGAGATGTCTCCACATTATGGTCACAATTCTCAGCATTCCTCCCTATTGGTATAAATGTACCAGTCTGGTAGTCCTTGCTTTTTGACTACCTCACTTAGTGAAATATTGTTTTTTTTAAAAACTTTGCAACCAATCTTACATTTACAACTGTTATGGTGTCCAATATATGTGTGCATTGCTACTGGCTTGCAACAAAGTTAGTAGAGAAGGCAGAAGTAAAATCATAAGTCATGGTCATGTGATTTTTCATTTAGTGACTAAAGGGGAACTGAGGAACTGTCATGGTTACATGATTTTCTCCTTAGCAATCAAATTGACCCAATTGTAGTCACTAAGTGAGGGCTACTTGCATAAGATATAGTTCAGAAAAACATATACAGGCTCCTTATGCTTGATGCAGACAGTGCTGTCCTTTTATATGACTATATCTGAAGGAGGGAAAGATGATGGAACATGCAGTTCCACACATCTGGTGTTCACCAGGACTGAAAAAGCTGCCAGTGATTTTTTTTGGAAAAATATATTCATTATAAGTAAATAAAACAAAATATACCTTATTTATATATCTAGAATATGCAAGGATTTCACACCAAAAGATTCAAAATAACGTTCTACTAAATCCTGTAATTTTTCATACTAGAATGTTTGAAAATTTCTAAAAATATTGGCATTGTCCTTAACATTTCACCAATAAAACCCTCTTCATAATGTTTAAATAAATTTTCAAATACTCAAAAAAGTCATTAACAGAATTTCATAATATAATTTTAACCAACTTTTCATGTTAGGTTTTTATATAAATGGTGACCAAAAGCTATAAGTTATTTAAAGATACAACTACTTGCAGCCTCCATCAACATGGAAGGCTAAATGTAAGGGGATCCTCCGCTTGGAAGAACTGCTCAATTTGCCCATTTTCTTTTCCTTTCAGCGATGAGAGAAATTATATGACATTCTCAACATTAATCATTAACTTTTGGTTCTCTGATTAGCTGCAATAATATGCAGCAAGACAAAGTGTCAAATTTATTGTTGCCTACAATGGAGGAGCTTGATTAGCTGTTTCTGTCTTAGCAGCAGAAAAGACAAGTGCATATAATTTAGTTTGTTTGTTAAAAACATTGCTAACAATGTATTTTTCTTCTCCAGTTAAAAGTGGGACAGGTATGCACTTCTATCAGCAATGAATGTATTTTTTATTTTTTTGAGAGAATGAAGAAGTGTGTTGGGTTTCTTTCTAGCTTTATCAATTTTTAACAGTATTATGGAGAAAAACTGTGCAGGAAATACAATTATGGAGACTCTTCTACTGCTTTTCTAGTTCATATTTTCCAAAAAAACCTGCAGCACCAATGTCTGCCCTTTCTCATTTCTTAAAAAGGGTTTACTGGAAAAGCATGTATGGAGGACCCAGAATGAAAAAATAGTTACAAGAGAAAAAAGAATATATGTAGTCCTTTGTGCTCTCAGTTTGATTATTTGCCTGCACACATTAAATTATCCATTAGGTAACATCTAGTGATGTTGGGTTGCTCCCTGTTTATATACATTAGCTTGCCCTGCCAGTGTTGGTGGGCATGTGGTTTTCTCCTTGGTAATTCCATGATTAGGGTATTGTTTTAAGCCTATTCTTGAATTAAAAAGCTGAGGCTGCAACCAGAGATTTATGAGCAAGTTACAGCACAGACTACACTCTAAGGGGATGTTGACAATACCAACTATAAATAAAAGCAGGTATCAAAGCAAATGAACACATATATAGTACTTCACCATACATATTACCATATGATATCGCTCCATTAGCTGCCTAAAACAGAAAATATATCTGAATATACTTACCACAAAACCAAAGCCATTTTTGAGATTAATCTCACGTATACGGCCATATCCTTTGAAAAATTTCTCTACATCTCGTTCCCGAGCATGGGGGCTTAAACGCCCAACAAAGACACGACAGCCACTCATTCTATTCCAAGCTGCAAAAAAATATAAAGTTCAGGAATTCTTGTTAAAACTGCTGCTTAATTAAATCCAAGCTCAGGGGTCTTTAAAATATTTTAAACCATGTTTTTTGGGGGGAATTGGTCTTGTCTAAGTCCCCTTTGCTCAGCCAGGAAGCCCTATGCCATTTCAGACAAACCATTCATTGTCCAATCTCTTCTTCTGGTGCTGGAGCATCCACAACTTCTGGAGGCAAAAATTGTTCCACTGATGAATTGTTTAATAACTGTCAAGGAATGCCCTGGATTTTTTTTTCCTGGAACCTGGATGCAATGTTGTCAAAAACACATCTGATGGACCAAGAAGCCTACGACAAACTCTAGCGAAAACAGATGATCCTGTCTTTTCTATTCTTACCCCAATTGCTACTAGCATGAAGCCTGCAGACATCTTTCCAGGTTCTTATATTATATAACCCTTGGATCCCTCGGTAAGCGGCTCCAAAATAAACAGGGAAGTTCCTAAATCATCCTAACCCCACTTAAAGTAAACACACTCCGAGGGCCAATTCCCACAAGACCGGGTAGTCACCAAAAAAAAAAGAAAAGAAAAAAAATCATCTCCCCTTCAGAGATAGCCTTCACGGCTGTAGAAAAACAGGGATAATAAGTGTTCTTTTTAAAAAAAATTTAAATAAGGACATTGCTTATACAGAGAAAATGCAAGCGTTCAAAGAGGAGAATAATAGAGGTCATTAAAAATCACCTCTGCTTTCGCCGCCTTCTCCAGACTTCCTCTTCAAACAGAACTGGACGTTAATCGGCTCGGTTTTAGAGAGGCAGGAGATGCGGGGTGCACAACTTTGGAGGAAAGCGACACCGGCCGGAGGAGGAAACGAGGAAGGAAGCTCAAGAAAAGAAAGGAAAACGAGGGGGGGGGGAGGGGAGGGAGGGAGAGGAAAGGGAAACTTAACGGCAACCGTGACGGAGGCGGAAAGGAGAGGCTGCTGGGGGAAGGAAGCTAAGACCGGACTGAACAACCGATAAGGGAAACAGCCCTGAGCCTGAGCCTCAAAGCCACCTGCCGCTTTCAACGGAGCCATTTAAAATCGTCACCCTCAGAAGTTTCGCCCCGACTCACCTTCGCTTCTGCCTCCGCTCTACCGCCTGAAAGGAGACCGACGCTCACGGCAATGGCAGAGCGTTTTTCAGGAAACTCGTTTCGCCCGTGCGGAACCGCAAACGTTCACTTCAGTCCGCCAGAGAAAATGGCGGCGCTACTTCCCTTAAGAGGAGCGGCAACGAGGCAACGGCGCCTGCGCAGATTCTTTAAACTCCGACCCGCTGGCGGACTGCTATTCCCAGACTTCAGCGCGCGCGTATTCTTGAGCTCGGGTAAACCTGGGTAGAAAGGAGGCTTCCTTCTATGGCGGGGGGAGTTACAGGCGGAAGTTACGTACTAGGGCCGCATGGAGAAGCGGGGCAGTGTTTGTGGACGGAAGAAAGGGAGGCTGGGGAATGTTGTTATTAGAAGAGCGAACGGTTTCCTTGTTCTTCTCAGTCAGAGTTTCTCAATCTCAGTAACTTTAAGATATATAGATTTAATCTCCCAGAATTGTCCGGCCAGTTAGCTGAGCATAAGAAAATGTTCGAAATGATGCGGGCAACTAGTTTTGGAACCTTGAAAGGAAATTATGCAAATGTTGCTTTTATTTCAGATTAATTATTCCTTCCTATTTGTATTTGGTAAGAAGTCTAAATCCTCCTACAATTAAGTCCTTTCAGGCAATAGGAAAAAAAAATGTTTTCACCCCTGTCCTACAGAAAGAGGCATCTCTACAATGCTATTTTCTTGGAGACTCTCCAAAACTTGAAGAAAATGTGGATTCATTCTCCATAGCACCTGAGGGTAGGACCAGAACCAATGGATAGAAGCTGTAGAGGGAGATCTACATTCAAAATGAGGAATTTTTCTTCTGCATGCCTTTGGCAGTTGAAGGTGCTCCGTTCTCAAGTTTTCAATGGTTGAACAATCATTTGTTTGAAACAATCTTCCATCCCTATGGTTTTATTTCAGTGTTTGAAATTTTAACTCCATTTTGTGTTATTGAGCGCTCAGAAGTGATAGAAGGGGGATAATTTTAAATACACAAATATGCTCACTTATTCCTCAAATATTTGTCATAAAATACCCCTCTGTATACAGCTAGGCTGTGTGGCAGGAAGATCCAACAGATACTGCTCAACTACATGTTATTTCAGTATATTTAATCGCTGACAATGCTGCATTGCAAATAAGCAATGCTGCTTATTGTTGCAATTTAGCAGTATCTGGAAAATGCTGTCCTATTACTGTGTATGAAACATGGGGTTTGGTAAGAACTCCAGTAGAATACAATAAACGGTTAACTTCATATGATTTGCATGTATATCCTATCTGTTTAGCGGCAACCCAACTGTGCTTGAAAGTTAAGTCTCCTGAAATTATGAAAGAAAACTGATATAACTACAAAGAGCTTTTAGGGAAGTTTGTAATTGCACTTATAAGCTGTGTTCAACTTTAATTTTAAACAGATCACCTTTACATCATAAGGCATAATAAATAGTTAAGAACATTGCTAAACTGATGGTAGGAATAAAATATTTGAAGTTTTTGTGCATGTGTATATAAAAGCAAGTGCTATGGATTCTTCTAGATATTCTTAAAAAAAATTTCCTGAGCTTCTACCAGAGCATTATCTTAAATCTATTACTGCCTTAAAAATAAGCATATATATATATGTATGTATGTACGTACGTATATATATATTGCAATGACATAATACATAATAAAGGGATGTTATCATAATAGATAAAGTGGTTGAGGGTATTCAGAAGGAGGATTCTTGTAATCAGCCAGTGTTATTTGGATAAAGCCAAGGGGAAAAAAAAACAGGTGCCCCCTGTGGATTTGTAGATTACTGCTTAAGCAGGAATCTTATTTTTGGAACAACAATTAAATTATAGTATAACAAGAATCCATATCACCTACACAGACCCAAATACTCTTGGGGAAAAATCTGGTAAAGGAGAAAAACATTTCTTCCTCACAAATACTAAATTGATTGATGGATTTAGTAGAGATGAATGTTGATAATATATTTTCTAAAATCTAACTTTTATGCATTGTAGAATCAAATGTAGAATAAGAATATGGGAGATTAAGGTCTTTGCCTTCGAATGAGAGATATTGGGGTGACTCATCAAGACAGATGGGAGTTAACACTACTCCTATGCATTCTTAGTAAGGAATTGGTTTTACTGAATAAAATAGTACAGGTATATATTTATTGAATAAATATATTCATAATATATTTGTGTTATACATAAACACACACACAGTGTTAAGGTATTATCTCAATAGTATACTTTTCTATTTCTTTATGTTAATATGCTATTACTGGTATGCTAATAAAAATTATTATCTTGGAGGATAAATTCTTGGGACCGTAATCCATCACAACGATCTAGTGTGAGTTGGTAGAAGTTTTTTTGACTTCCCAATCAAGAACTGAAAATCCCTGATCCAAAATCACCCAGTCAGCTTATGGGTCTAAAAGGAGAATTACACTCAGTCCAGCACCTTAACTCCTGTGTTCCACTAACTCTCATATTTCTTGCTTTCTCTTTCTCCTGTCTCATGGTGACTTCACTGATATATCCATATAATTCTCTTGGCAACAACATGGAAGTGCAGCTGCTGTTTTCCAGGGTATTTCTTTGACTTCCTGTCTAGCATATTGCCCTGATATTCCTTAGGAGTTTCTCAGCCACATACTATGCAAGCTGTTTAGCTTCTCAGCCTAGACTTGGTAACACTAGGGATATAAACACCAGCACATTCAAAGGAGAAAGAGGGATATGTTTTGGGGTTTTGCTGTTTTTTAAAAAAAATCTGAATATTGTACCTTCCCACAAGGTCAAACATGTATTTAAAAATCTAGCTAAACCGTTAAGTAAATGAAACAGACAAAATAATGACATCTAGATTTGTTATTACAAGATTTTTTTTAATATGGTCTGTGACAAGCAATATCAAAGATGCCAACTCTCAAGCGCCATATTTGGAGACTAGACAAGTTTCAGCAACAATACAGATAGGCAGATTGTAATTTTAATTAAATATGAAAACATGAGCTGTGTACATTATTTTTCCCTAAAAAAAACACAGCAATCTCAAAAAGTTTTATTGTAAAATATTTTCATGAAATGAGTGAACCAGCAATACATGCACTTGCCCATCTCCTTCTCTGTAAAACAGTATGATAAAGAAATAAGAGACAGGTGAGAAAGTTGACTCAGGATAGAAGAAGCGTGCCAGGCTTCAGGTATAAGAATGGAATACAACACTGACCTCCATTTCCTATGTTGGAACAAAAGGAAAAAAAATGGGGGGGGGGCTTCCTCACCAGCCATATTTGGTGTAATACTTTAAATGTTTTTCTATTTATGCTTCAACCTTTGAGAAAAATACTTTTTCTATAATAAAATAAGCTTGCTTAAATGTAACCTCGTCTCGCCTCCCCCTGCAAATTTTGGAAACTGCCCTTTTTCAAGGCTTTGATTGGCTATTTCATTCCAAGACCTTCCCTGCCCATCCCAAAGGAAAGCTGTTCTTTGATGTGGAAGCAAAAAGGGGGACAAGAAGGTAGCTCAGAGCCTGTTTGCAGACAGAACGAAAAGTGCACCTGGATGGAACAGGGTCAGGTGGTGTGGTGGATAGAGAGGTGTTAGTTAAAGGTCACTTTCGCCATAGAGAGCTGTTGAGAAAGACATGTAGTCCAGGGCACCAGGTACAGAATCCAGCCCAGTATAAGGTGCCATTCTAGCAATGCAATATTCAGCTTGATCTGGAGGCAGTTCCCGCCGTAATTCATCCACAGTGATATAGTTCTGCAAGAGAATACACAGATTTTCATTTTAGCTTATTAAAAGCTTTAGCTTATTGATATCAAGCAAACATTATTTGCAAAACAGTTTAATTCAATTCCCTTTCTCTTTAATTGGATGTATTACAGAAAACCGCAGTTGAGGGTACAGGTTCATTTGTTTTTAAAATGCAAATGAGTGCTGGGTGAAACTTACATGAAAGAGATCAGGTTTTTCCTTAGGGATGCTTAGGATCTGTTTCTTTTTAAAAATTCTTACTTTTTTTAAAAAAGCTGTGTGTGTGTGTGTGTACGTACACATGTAACATGTCAGACAATAGACAGAGGGCCCATGAAATCCAAATGATGTCAACTAGGTCTTGTAAACAGAACAACTGAAATAGAACAAAAAAGATCTGCCGAAAAGCACCTAAACAATTTATGATAAATGTTAAATTCAAAGCAGGCACTTCCTGATTTGAAATTCAGTCCCTTGCTAGAATAAACCCCATTTAAATAATTAATTATCCTCCTAGAATAACTGAAGAAAATTTCAACTGATTCCCAAAAGTTTGTTACAGAATTTGGGAAAAGTGCTAGGAAAAGTCAGGTAGACTTGCCAGAGCCTAAAGCAGATTCTTACAGGCTTTCTTCTATAGGTAGTCTTTGACATCACCATTTAACAAAGATTAGAAGTTTATGGCAGCTTTACGAAAAGTGATTTATAACCTGTCCTGTTGCACCATCCCTGCAGACACATGATCACAACCAGCTCACATTTATGATGGTTTAGAGTTTTATGGGCATGTGATCAAAATTTGTGACTTCTCCAATTGGCTTCCAATAGTCAATTGGAGAAATTTGATTCACTTAAATGTGTGTGTGTTTGTGCGCAAGAGAGAGCGCACTAAGATCTTCCTTTTGTATTTATATTTTAGTAGCCTGAAATCAAGCTTAAATTTTGCTATGAATCAGCATTCTTTTCACTCAACCTGAACTCACTTTATCTCCAGCCAGGATCTTGAAAGAAGCCATAACTTGGTCAGCTGTATCGGTATCTGCTGTTTCCCGGGACATGAAGTCAATGAAGGCCTGGAATGTCACCACTCCAATACGATTGGGATCCACAATGCTCATGATTCGAGCAAACTCTGCCTCACCCTGGGCCAGGAAATAAAATTCAGCAACAATTTAATCCAAAGGTGGCAGGAAATAATTGAATACAATATTCCTTGGAATAATTTCCCTACCCTTTAAATGCATGAGTCTGAAATGTCTACCATCCCCAATCGGCATAGGTTTAACCAGATTGAAGAGCACCTAATGCAAAGGGCAAGATGCTCAGCCCAAACTAGAGTGAACCTGAATGCCTTTTGAAGGCACAAGGGACTCAAATCC